ATTTTGGTAATATGGTTAGTTATAAAACGAATTTCTTCTTCTTGGAAAAATTAACAATCAGCCTCAGATAAAGGCCTCTCAAATCAATTCTGAAAAATTTCTAATTTCCCTTCAGTTCAGGGCTGAATGAGCATATGAAGTATTAAGTCAAACCGAGGGTGCGTCCCACAGTATAAAGAAGACATTAAAATACCCTGGTGTACAGCACCTCGTGGAGCTCACAGTGGAAAAGAGTATGAAGATGACTATGTGCACGTTCATGTGTGACTGAAGAACTGTGCTGTGCACCAGAAATTGGCACAACATTGTAAACTGACTACAACTCGATTAAAAAAAGATTAAAGTATATACAAAGAAAAACCCTGGTATACAAAAGTCCCATTTTAACAGTTTCTTTTCTCAAAATATTTAAGATGTTCTGAAATCCACTAAATCCTACGATATCCACATCAGGAAAGTGATGCTGGTAAAGCTGGTCTTTTTTCCGAAGGAGATAATACAGGGCTACCATTAAGACAGGTGTCTAGACAAAGATCATGCCCAGCACCTCACCCCGTTCCAGCCTGGGCTGTAACTAGCACCATTTCTAGGGGGGAGGGTACAGCTCAAGCGGTAGAGCACGTGCTTGGCAGGCATGAGGTCCTGGGTTCCATTCCCAGTGCCTCCTCTAAAAATAAATTAATAAACCTAATTACCCCCCACCAAAAAAAAACAACAAACCCAAAACAAAGAACTGTTTTTAAACAGTTAAGAAAACACCTGACAAACAATTTTCAAGTATTGTAAATTATGAAGATAGAAACTGAGAAAAAAGGTTTTGGATTTTTCTGATAGTAACAGGAACAACTGGAAACTTAACTTACAGTTCATGATAAAACCAAAGGACAAGGTGCATGCAGAGCCCGAGAAGCAGCAGGGGTAACACCCCAGCAGGCAGGCCCTGCTCACAGCCAAGCGGGTCCTGCTCCAACGTGGAGCTTGAGTTTGTGCTGCTGCCTCCTGGAAGCCCCTCTCTGGGGCCGGCCGGGCAGAAGCAGGCCTGGAGGGCGGCAGCGTATGGACGCTGTGTTGGCCAGTGGTCGGCGGGAGAACTGTGACCGTAAACTGAGAATATGCTGCAACGTCCATTTTGCTTTGTTTTCTCCCTCAAAAAGCTACACCACCGCTCTGGTGTCACAGGGAACTGAGATGTTTACATGGCAGTGGCCAGACACGAGCTCCTCCAGGGAGCACGGCACGGCAGGGGGACACTGGTTAGCGGCAAGTCCACCCGCCAAAGCCCAGGTGTGACCGTGGGTATGAGGCGGCATCTCGCTGAACCGGGCGAGCAGCGCGAAGCCTGCGACGCAGTAACACTTGGACACGAGCTTGCGGCTACCCGAATCACCCTGCCAGTTTAAACGCAGCAGAGCCTGTCACTTATTCTGAGGCATTTTTGCAAAAACAAGTCAATCCTTCCTAAGTGCTTTAAAGAAACAGGAAATTATACTACTATTCGGAATAAACAAGAAGCTCAAAGATGTTTAAAAAAAAATCATGCAAAGAAAGAAGCTGAGCACAGAAATGTTTAAAACAGAGAACGGAGACCAGACTGCAAAATCCCTGCCCAGGGCTAATTCTCAGGCCTTGTGAACCTGCCCTGCAAATTGTAGCTGCCGCACCCCCCCAAGTCGTAACCACCGTGTAACTTCACGTACTGGCCAATTTTAACCACATTTTAACAGTGACCAAAAGTTTCAGGAGCCATTTCAGTGAACAGCCTCTCCGAGGTGGCAGAACACCGTTATCAACTTACGTTATCTGGGAAGAAAGAGAAATCTTCCATAGAAAACCTTAAAAATGTACTATTTAAGGATGGAGGGTTTTCAAGGACAAAGTAACTATTTACGCCCATTTTGTTCCATAAAAGATTTTAGATAGCTTATGAAATTACTTGTATATATTCACATTTACAAAATATACTAGTGCAAATGTAATTTTTGCTACTATCTGAATAGCATTAAAGCTGAATTAGGTTAGAAATGGCTTGTTTATAGGCTACAATAAAGACTTGCAAGATATCAACATTTGATTTCCACTCTTAAAAAGTTCAACTAACCCTCAATTCCAGTTATAATTTCTAGACTGGAGGTCTGGAAGGTCCCCTAAATGTTATCCTTTTAGAGAAAGGCAGCCTGTCTTTGCTTTCTCAGAAGGACAAAAGCATGCTCTGGGTGCCCACACTGTCTACACCTCCCCAGGTGCCCCGTGGAACAACACCAGGCGATGGCCTGGTCACCAGCAGCGTCCAGCTACCATTCCCTGACAAAGATGATGGTTCTTTCTTTTGAGCACAAGCTAAACTAAAATGAGATACTGCTACAATTTAAATAAAGCAGCAGTCTTTACTTAAGAGCTGTGGGATCAATGTTAAATATCCGTACCAGAAATTTAATGAATGATGGGATGTCAAATACTAAGGTGAATTTTATCACCTGAACAAGTTTTCCCCCCAGAAATAGAATCAACTTTTGAAACTCCTCCGAAGAGGGGCTGATTTCAGGTTATATTAGACAGAAAAAGAAACGGCAGTGATTGAAGACACGGTGTGTCAAGGCCTCACTCGGGGTGGGAACGAGGACAGTGGTCCTCCTCACTCTCCTGTTCACACAGTGGCTGCATTTCATCGGGCATAGCCGTCCCGCTTCAAAGACACAGCTTCCCACTTCGGCAGTAATACGTTCTGAAAGTGGACCTGCTATTTATATGACTCCGAACCATGGTCATTGGCTGACACGCAACTCCAGCACCACGTTTCACAAAAGCACTGAGGGGGCACTTCAGTTCTGACCCCTACGGCAAGGTGAGAACACACACCAAGTGCAGCTGCGGGTCTTCATTCATGAAGGTCAGCTGCATAGTCTCAGTCACAGCAAAATGGAACGTGTGGAACATCCCACTAACCTTTCAGCAGCGCTTTTTGTAACAACTTTCACATATGCTGGGAAATCCCAGTATGCTAGTGTTCTGAAAAAACATAAGAATGGAAATTTTCCCGACTGACATTACGTGACAAATAAAACTGATGCTTTGGAACTAAAAGCATTATCTTGCTACAGAAAAGGACAAATCTGACTCCACATCAGATCCGTTCCTTTGGCCGCTGTGCCCTGTTCCTAGGCTTAGTCTCGCTGGCTCTTCACTCACATAAGATAACAAGTTGCAGAATAGAGAATACTGTTTGTTTTGTTGGAGGTTTTGCAGGAGCACCATGAGCTGACCCATGTGGACAGCTGCAGGAACAAAGAATTCCTACAGCAAGAAGTTTGCAACAACCAAC